AGACCATTACTTAAAATCCTCAGCACTTAGAGCCCCAGTGGTCGTGATATTTGAACTAGGGAGTAAAATGGATTCACCACCACATTTTTTCCACTGCAGTAAATCATTAACCTTTAACCAAAGCTAGTCCAGACAATATTTTTTAGTCTTCCCTGAGTTCAAGATGTCAGATTCCCTTTGCTGTAATTGTTTAAATACCACTGCATTAGTCTACAGATTATATGCATTAGTATAGAGATTCTTTGGTTTCAATGGACTGCATAAAAGTGTTATTACTAAAGCATAACAGCATCTCATGAAAAGGACAGGACAAAATAATCCATTAATCATTAAGACTGTCAGATGTAATTTCCCTGAGCTTGCCAAGCCCCTGGAACACAACAGAAGGAAAGTACCTTCCTTTAATTAAAACACTTACTGATGAGGAGGTTTCTGCTGCCAGCCTTGCTGCATACCTGGCGATCAGCTTGTGCTCTTCATCCAGGCGACTGGCGCTGTCGAGCACGCTGCTCGGGGGGGGAAGGAGGGGAGACACATGAATACATGGCAGAAATAGCCCTGCTCTGTCCCCCCGCCCACTCACACCCCTCATCACACAGGTCAGAAGCAAAACGTTGCCAAATGGACACTGGCACTGCTTACGTGGGCGAAGGGGAGAAGTGGGAGGGTGATGTCCCTGCAGGATCAGCTCTAGGGGCCAGGCAGCACCTTCCCTTAGAGGGCAACAGCAGCAGTCTGCAAGCCCTGGCCAAGGCCATGCAAGATGCAACTCGCAGACCACTCTGTCCAAAGAGGGGTGGGAGCTGGTCAGGACCACCAGTCAACCTTTGCTTTGATTCCTCACCTTGGTTGTATCACCTAAAGAGCGATTCATTTCTGGAGAGCAGACTAGCAGGAACCTCAGTGTTTACTGAGAAGAACTTCAGCAGCTTTGTCATATTTGCAACAGAAAACAATATTTAGGATAGTTTTGCAGGGCACATACCATGGACCACAGTTTGGAATGACTGATCTAGGGATTTATAAACAGACTTCTTCTTTTATTCTTGGTTTCTTGGTATTTGCAACCAAGATCTCAGGGAAGCACATAGTGGTGATCGGGAAGTGTAAGAACTGAATAGCAAATGTGTTCAATTCCTTTAAAATATTGCATCTTACTACTTTTCTTTTTCCTAAGAATATCAAAGACAAAGCTTATCTGAGATTAATCCCTTGCCATCTGTCCTGATTTTAAATGGAAGCTATGATTTAGTCAGATAAGCAGGAAAAAGGCAATACAGTGAGAAGCTCTGCTATTCCTAAACATTCAGAAATTTGCAGAGAACCAGCAAAGCTAATAAATGGCCAAAAGATGAAATCTAAGGAGGACTTAGTTGAACGTGGATAATCCTAGGATTTAGAATCCTATATTGCATTACTGCTAGTATATGCAAGAGAAAAAAAAATGAAGCCCATAAGAAGAGGTGAGAAGAATGCAGAGTATCCCAGGCAGGTAAGTCTGACCTCTTTTCTTATACCTTGGCAACTGTCTCATGTTTTGGCTGAAGGGAAATGGGCACATGCTTCCCTCCACATGGGCTTTTCAGGGCTTGCAACTGGTTGCTGGCAAATGAGCTTCATGTTTCAAAAGAGTGCACAAGACAAGGTTTGTGTTGGGCACAGGCATCTCATTCTGATTTTTACCAGAAATTATATCTTGAACTTGAAAAGCCTTTTAGACAAAAATGGCACTTGTGCAAAGTTCTGGCTTGAAGACTCGATATCTTTAAAAGAAGAAGGAAATCTCCAAAATTTCTCAGTGAGTTCACATCCTCAAGAACCACAGAGAACTACAATGTGCATCTTCTGATTGGCTTAAGTCCAACGGGATTTAGAAGCTGTGCTTGAAAGATGAGTAGTGATTGATATTCACTGATCATTAAACTAAAGCTAGGAGCCATGTGGATTTGTTATGGCTTGCTGAGGTAATGGGAAAGAGACAAACGTAACCTTTTTCTCATCCTGACAATAACCTGTGAGACCACAAATATGAAGTTTAGAGAAACAGTTAAGCTATGAAAAGCCACACCCAGAGGGGTTCTGTGTGAGCTGAGCTTCTGCTGGAGATGGTACATCAGGCTTCTGGTGACAGATGAACGCTGGCTTTTTGGGTTTGGTTACAATTGATTTATTTAGTTACATATATATCTTAGTTCTATGCTCACTCAGATTCTTGTGGGATAACTGATTTGCTTTCTGAAAAGACCCAAGCTAAAGGTACACAGGCTAAATTCATGCAGTTCTATTTCTTACATACTCATGCTTACTGTCCTGATATGACATCCAGAGAAAGAAAGGAAGGAGCGAGTAACTCCTGCAGACATAAAATTCTGCAAACCAGGCAATAAGTGTTACTTTCATGACGGAATAACTGATTTTTAATTTTTCCATAATGACTAGAACATCACATCCTAACAGATGACTGTGAACCCAGCAAGCATTCAGCATCAATTCTCCTTTTTACAGCAATGTGCAACCACATTATCCATTCTGGAAAAATAATGAATTATGGTTCCAGTTGTTGGCACAACACAATTTGCAACATAGTTCTGAGATGTGAGTTAACCCCAGAGACAATAACTTCACTGAATGAATTGAGCCACTGCAGCTTTTTTATTCTTACTTGCTATTTAACATCTTTGATATATATTTATGTGTAGGTGGATGTCATAAAATAGATGTAGCAGCGTGTCAAATTTGGTCGGTGAATGCCACAAATCACTGGCCCCAAAGCTTTGTAAATTAAATTTCAATGTCTGAGATAAATTTAGTTCTGGAATGTACCTATTCCAGGTCATCATTAAGCACAGAGGTATATGCACAGGAACATTAGCCTTGACTGCCAGGAGTTTTATGTCTCTTAGTTCTGATCTGCCATCATTCACTTCTGTTTTATTTCAACAACTTCATGGACAAAGATACAGTAAAATACACACAAGCTTTTATGAGATTGTGTGCAGAATTTGGGATCCTCAAGAGAACGATTCAGGCATCTTTTTGAAAAAAACTGAAAAATTTCCATACAAATAACCTGCTGATGATCCTACTTTTCAAAAACTGTTAAACACTTTTAACACTGCTTCTCCATTAGTGGCTATTTCTTTAGATTTTATCATTATTAGCAATTGGTCTGGCAGAATGATCATAATTCAGATGCAGAGTGAATATCCAATATAATCACCTGCACAATAGGATATTTTAGGTTTTAGTTGATCTGTGCAATATTCTATGGTCAAAGGGAGATCCATAGAAAAAGGATCCCAAAACCACAAGCAAAGAATGAAAAATATGATAGCCTGTGACCAAAGGAGTGACACTGGAGCATCTTTGCTACTTCTCAGCTTTCAGATGTGTCAAATTAGCCTGTTCTGCAGTAGGCACCCTGCAAAAGGTGATATGGGTGTCCCCTGATGCTCTTAAAATCATGTCACCACTGGTTAGAAAAGTCTTAGGAACATCAATCTCTTGTGAAATTTTGGCAACAGAGATATCAGTGTGGTCTTCATGCCATGCTCTTATGCCACAAACCTCCACTTAATGAATCATTTCCTGCAGAAAATACTGACAAATTAAAGGTCTCTAAGCCTCAGGGCTGTAAGAACAGTGTCCTAACAGCAACCCACCAAATGTATTCTGAGGACTGTTTATCTGTGACACTTTCAAAATCATCTGGGTTTTAAGGCACTTTAAACTGATGGCCTCTGAGCCCTCTGCTATTGTCAATTTGCAATTTACTTTTGAATCACTAAGATTTTACCATCAAAATGATAATAACACTCAGGTATGTGGGTATAATAATAAAACCTAACCCTGTTCAAGTGAGACAAGTGTCTTTAAGTTTCCCCTGTAATCAGTGGGTCTGAAACATTTTCCTCTTTAAAGGGAAGATTAGACCAGTCTTTCCAGCTAGAGTTAGTTGTGCACACCCCCCTTAATAAACATTTTTAAAAATACTATAAAATACCGTGGCACTTTTGTAGTACAGAAACATGATTCACCACAGTACTACACAATATAATGTAAAAAAATCAGAAGAAAATAATTTTATGTGGAACAAAAATAACCTCCAGCTCTTATTTCCTTCTGCACATGAAAAAGACTGAAATACGTGGAATTAATTTTCAAAACTAGGTAAAGCCTTTAACTTATATGAGCAAAATGGAAAACTACTTTGCAGTTAAATGTTTTGTAGAATCAGACACTAAAGATTAATTAAACAGCAAATACTGTTTTTACATGCTAAAACACACTTTATGATGAAACTAACCAAAACATCCATTTAAGGGATACTTTTTCCACCCAGATAGTTACTATAAATAATGAATTAAGTCCGTCTCTTGTTTCTTAGTTTGCCCTTGAATACTGGATTCTAAAAAAACCCCAAACAGTTTATTAGGCTGTGAAGGATGGAAAGGAAAACTTGTACTTCTAGTTGCAGTATCAAAATAACTGCAGTTGAAAAATAAAGCAGTGAAAATTAATTAAAAAAACCCAAACAAACAAACAAACAACAAAATATAAATACAAGCTACACTTAAAATAGAAGAAAAGGGTTATACTGAGCTGTATTGGACTGATTGTTAGTTATTATACATTAGCCTGACTCGATATCTAAAAATACCAACCTTGTTTTGTTTTGAAATGCTACTGTAAAAGTTCTTAAGATAATTTCATGTATTACACCCACAATTTATTTCTGTAGGTTTTTATTGCAGAGGAAGGTCCAGCTACAATCATTCCTCTTTTCACCTTTGGCTGCCAGTACATCAGAAATATGTGATGGCACGTTTGGTACGTACATGTGGTATTTTCCCAGACTGGTTTGGGTTGGAAGGACCTTTAAGGGTCATCCAGTCCAACCCCCTGCAGTGAGCAGGGACATCCCCAAGCAGAGCAGGCTGCTCAGAGCCCTTCCAACCTGACCTGCAGTGTTTCCAGGGCTGGGGTTTCTACCACCTCTGGGAAATTTGTGCCAGTGTTACACCACTCTCCTATAAAAAAATTCTTCCTTTTATCTAGTCTATATCTCCCTTCTTTTAGTTTAAAATCATTACCCCTTGTCCTGTTGGAACAGACCCTGCTAAAAAGATTGTCCCCATCTGCCTTATAGGCCCTGTTTACATACAGAAAAGCTGCAATAAGGTCTCTCTGGAGCCTTCTCTTCTCCAGGTTGAGCCTGTCCTCATAGCAGAGGGGTTCCAGCCCCCTGAACATTTCTGTGGCCTCCTCTGGACCCACTCCAACAGGTTCATGTCTGTCTTTGGCAGGCAGACACATCAGCTGAGCTGTCTAGCTGCAGCCTCACCTAAATCAGAAATGGCCTGATGATGGGTAACTACACGCCTTGCTCAGGTCACCAAATCTTGGTAAGCTCCAGGGTGAAATAACTTGAACTCAGCAGCATCCTAACACAGCCACGTGGCCTTTGAGCAATCTGTGGCACTTCAGGGCACAGGCAGAAGGAGTTCACCTTTGCCTGAAGATGCCACCCCAGGCTGTATGTGATGTGGCAGCTGAACCTCCTGCAAAGGCCTCACTCACCTCTCCTGGAAACGGGCTTCACACAGGAGCTTCAAGATGGAAACACTGTTCTTGTCTTTACCAAAAGAGAACCATTCTCCCTCCTTGCAGCAAAGCAGAAGATGGCAATGCAGCATGGTGTGAAGCACGATGAAGAATGATGTCCCTCTCAGTTGTGTTTCTGTTCAAATCTAAGTGGTGCCTTACATAAATAACTGAGATTGTTTCTCACTGAGGATGCTGTGGCTGCAGTGATTCAATGTCAGCAATCAGATGGCACGCACTACACTTTGCATCAGTTATTTAAACAATTAAATATAATAAATAATTAAATCACTCTCCACCCCTCAAAAACGTTAAATTTGAAGGATGTTTGACATGTAATTTGTATGTATGTATTTGGATACAAATGTACTATGACTTGGTGAGGTTGGCTCAAAACTTTGAAGGAACAGGTTGAAATATACTTGATAAAATTTAGAGCATGAAGATGGTAAAGATGAGGCTAGGCACTCATAAGGGGATCTACTGGTGGTCCTCCCTGAAGCTAGAAGCAGCATAGATCAGGCATCCAAAACGCCATGCCTGGTAAACAAACCTAGCACCAAAAATTACTCTGAACCCTGTCCAGTCTGTGCTTGCTTCTTGAACAAGTGTATCAAGAAAGTTACTCATGGTGGGCAGGGCCACATTTTCTTCTGCCTGTCAAACAAGACCAAGGGGTAGCTACTCCTGTCCTCAATCAGAGGTGGGCCATGACTGGTCTACACACATGCCCCCAACAGCTTGTTTTCACAGGCACGGTGCAAATCTCACTCAATAAGCCTGCTTTCTGGAAGTGATTCTCCAGGAATTAAACTTCTCTTTAAAATATATTTGTTTTAAAGAAATGGTTCTCATTTTCCTCACTAAAAATGACTGTGTCTTTTTTTTCTTCCCCACTGGCACATTCCAGTGGGTTACAGACTGGAGAAGTAGATCTAGAATAATGAAGGCGGACTTTTTCTACCAGGCAGGACAAATTACTCCTATTTTCAACAGGAGCTACACGCAGAAGCAAATTTTGCAAGACTGTAGAGAATCACTGCATTCATCCTCCCTCCCAAAGGAAGTTCCTTGTTGCCTTCTATATGTAAAAGAAAAAGAAGTGTATCTCCTAACCTGGGAAATACTCTGCAATAGCAGTACAGGAAACCAAAGGACTAGTTATGAGTAAAAGAAGCCTCACAAGCACAGTTTTGCTGGAAACACTGAAGTTTTCTGTTCAGTGCCACATTTTCTAGGGCCATATATTATATCACTCACCACCTTGCTGGCACAGGGGCTGCAAGGCCTTGAGTCTAGAGACATCCATTTAAAAACCTTTCATACTTAGTTTGAATGAGACAAAGGCAAATTTATATACAAGATTCAAACAATGGGGAAATCAGGGAGATTCAAAAATAATACCTGCTGTGTAAAAATGGAAATTAACTCCTTCCTTCACTAGGTTAATAAGTAAATTCCTATTATTACTATTACAACCATTTTTGTACTATTACTATTTCTTACTTTCAAGGCAGGGTGAAGCTACAAATTAAGTATCACCTCACAAATTGTTCCCCTGAAAGCGTGGTGGATTTGTTAGTTGTCATCACACAAAGATTCCTGTGCCACCATCAAGTCCTACACTGACCCAAGCACGAGATCCCAAATCCATGTGTACGGTCACTCTTAACTAAGCAGTTATTTGCAATACCTCACTCTTAACATCACCAGAAAGAGTACCAGCAAACTGCCACGGTCCACCAGCTTTGGGAGGACATATCCTGGACTCGTACGCATTCCCTTAGCGCTCATGAAGAGCTGCTTCAGCTTGGAGCCAGGAGGAAACAGGGAGAGCATCTGGCCAGCCAAGGTCCCTCTCCTGGGTCCCCCCGAGGTGCCAAAGGGGCACTAACCGTGCGGGGTGGCTCTGCAGCATGTTGACATACAGCCCGATGAGACCATGTTCATCGGCCAGCCTGTCTGCCACACCGAGGCTGTACTGCAACCTGGAAGGGGGTGGGACAGAGGGGCAGTCCAGACAGACAGAGGGAGACAGACAGAGAGAGCAGGAGCAAGTGAGACCGTGGAATGGGAATGGAGGAATGAGAAGTAAATGGTCTTAGGAAAAAAAGGCAATCAGAACAACAAAATCAAGCGCAGAAGTTTTTTTGCTATTATTATAATTTAAAGGGTATTTAAAGGCTTAGGATGGCAGAATCCCACTTGGTTAGAGAGCTGGGCTCAGAAATCAGTGAGATGCCAGGTCCAGCCAGGGACTGGAGCTGTACAGTACCATTTATTTCAAAATACAGCAGACTGGGAGGCTGGCACTATTTGCTTTGATATACTATGTATTGTATATATACATTAAATACACGTTACACACACAATTAATACTGAGATAGTTGGATTTGCTTGGAAGCGTCTGATCAAGACCTCATGCATCCATATAATTATAAATTTTTATATTTATAAGATATAAATCCATATATAAATAAATTTAAACGGTTGTTTAGCTCACTAGGTTAATTGGTTATCACAATTTTCTCAGGAAAGATGTTTACAGAAGACATTAAAAGCAGGAGGAAGAGAGGAAAGGGTTTTGTTTAGCTGTGTTAGTGCAAGCTACAAACATACTCTCTCTTTAACTTACCCTTTGCCTTTCAAGAAAGCTGGAGCAGCCCTAGCCAGCAGTTTGCTCTGCTCTACTTCAGTATTCTTGGAAGGAGAGCTAGTTAATAAGAGAGCAAAACTAAGAAAAGGGTAAACAGTGATGTCTGAAATTCATTACAGAGAAACTCATTCAGGTGTCTTGGACTGAATAAAAACTACAACAGAAGCTTTAAAGAAATTTTAGAAAACTTCAGGAAATGCAAAGTCAGTTTTCTCTCCTGTTCTCCAAAAGCAAACTACAAAGCCTTCATGACAAAAAAGACAAAAAATGTTTATTTCTCACAGAGAGCTGAAGGCTTGTGGAGTTTCCAGGTAGAATCCGAGATAAACAGCATCTTAAATGCAGCTTTCAAGCTGGGAAAGCTTCACCATAACAGCTAAATTGCTTTTCTCCACATTTGCCATAAGATAGCTTCAATCATCTATGGAAATGTGCTTATTTAGATCCAGCGATGGGATACATCAGTTAAATTTTCAGAAGTACTGTTCCTCTGTTGATTAAAATAAAATTATATAGTTCATCAAACCCACTTTTTTTCCTAATTACTGTATTTAATGGATTGCAGTAACTACGTCCTTCCCAATGCTAAAATATCCATGTAAATAAGATAACGCTGGCTAAAAATGGAGAGACTTAAATGTTAGTTTTTCTCTCATGATGAAGCATTTCTGGTTTAAAAAACAATAAAGAAAAAAAAATTGTACTTTCTTCTTTCTAAAAGCTATTCACCTTTTTTTTTGGGTTGGCTTCTGACACTGTAAATGTCTTTGATCAGAAGATGGGTGCACGAGCATGCACGTAGCTGTGCAACCAGGGGTTTGTGTGTGTACAGGCACATGATGTGTGATTTTGCATGATAAATCTGAGCAGACGTGGCTCTGATGGACTGAAGACCAAAACCTTTAACACTAGAACAAAGAAGGAATGGAGTAAGATGAGGTGTGGGCCACTCCCATCCTTTTGGGAGGTCAAGGCTGGCAGTAGGGTTCTGAAAAGGATGGTACTGAAGGCTGTCTTAAGAATCTGAGACCTATTGATCTATAATAAGTCTGGAAGAAAGCTGAATGAAATGTTATACTGCACAGCAAGACAAAAGGCTTGCTTTGCATTTCTGTGCCCCCCAGCAAGCTGCTGATGTGTCTCCTGCTTTCACCAAAGCAGTGCCCATGCAGATACACATGCCCCATGCCATCTAGAAGGAAATGTTTCCCACCCAGGTTTCCTTCCCAATGACACCATAAGAACACATTCAAGGGTTACAGGGTGTGCCATTTCAGCCCAAAATGCAGCTTTTGCTTCTTAATGGTGAATAAGTTGCCACAAAGGGAGAGCAAAGACCCCAGGGCAGATTTTGTGCTTTACTTTCTAACAGGGCAGTGTGGTGGCCCCTCCACCAGCCACGAGTCCTCCCCTCCTGTGCTCCAGAAGCAACATGGGGTGGAGGGATGGGCAAGCAAATGTTACTCATTGAGCAACTGAAATCATGTCTATCAAGGTCTATTTCCTAATTAGTTGACTAAGCAAACTTGTATCCTCCAACCTCTTCTTATGGGTTGTTTTTTCTAAGTTTTTCTGCCATTTGGGTGTCTGCTCTGGACTCTGTCATGCTGGTTAGCATGTGTGTCCCCATGCTGTTGTCCTACACTGGGTGCAAACCTCCAGGCAGATGCCTCCTCCTCTGTCTATGGGTTTAATGGCTTTCCACAGGATGTCCCAGGGTCCCATGAGATGTAACAACTGCACTGCTGACCTCAATCAGTTTGTGGCTCACTGCAACTGCTAGCTCCTCAGCTAAAATACTTCTCTCCATCCAATTAGCCTCCAGCTCTTCTTTGATTATTTGCTTCCTTGCTACAGCACTTTTCACTTACAATTACTGAGTTTCCTCTAATTGATTTCAGATCATTTGGACATCAATTACAACCATTGCAAATGAGCTCATTTTTTAATTTAGAAACTGCTCTCCAAGCACCCCTTCCTGTAACTGTTTCAACCTTTGTCCCGCCTATAAATTGCCTGCACTCACTTTATGGTTCTCACTAGGTCATTACAAGAAATAGTGCATAGTGTCTGACTTTGGGGAGCCTTCAGGGATCCCAGCTGATAGGTTCTCCTAGAATGACAGCACTTTTGGAAATGTAATTACTGATTTTCAGCATTGCTCTTACACTAATTTCCCCTAGTCCACATTTCCTTTGGGTACTTCTGTGTCACCTGGGACCAGGCCAAAAGTCCTTTTAAGGTTGACCTGTATGATATCTGCTGCTTCTTTTTTACCCAATGGACCAGTCATCCTGTCAATGAAATAAATTAGCTTGGTTTGACATAATTTGTTCAGGACAAATCCATGCTGGTTATTGCTCATTGGTTTATTATTCTCCAGGTGCTTACTAATTCTTCCATAATTTCAGTATCTTTGGGTACCAAGGTTAGGCTGTCTCTTCTATAATCTCTTCAGTCTTTGTCCCTGTCTTTGCTTTCAGCCTGCCTTCATCCTGAAGAGCTGACATTTGTCCTCCTTGTTCTTCCATAGCCTTCCTATGTCCTCCATATATTCCCTAAAAATGCAGCTCCAGAGATTGTTTTGGCCATAGAGAGTTTCTTCAGTTCCTACCAACCTGAACACATATTTTAAAGATGTATTTCTGTTACAATGGAACATTCTGTAAGATGCCAAAGAATGCTTCCCCATGCAAATTAAGAGATAAAACTTTGAACTCTGATCAGATGCCTACAAAGACGTAGACCTATCAACATTGGTGTAAATGTTATACCTTCTTCAGTGTCTACCTGGCCTCTAAAAAATCAGACATATAAACATTTCCTTTAGCAGGTGGAATATTGCTGGTGAAATAAGGAAGACTCTCATCCTGTTCTGAAAATAACATGAAGGCAACATGCAGTTCAAGTCTACCACATTCCTTAGAGACAGAGGCATGGACAACAGCACCAAGCAGTATGCTTTGCTCCAAAGTTAGCTGCTGCTCTTCAGAAATTTGGTGTAATCTCTTGCTACACTCAGGTAGAATAGCCAATTTTTTTTTTTTTAGTTGAAAAAAAAGGCACTAGCTATTCTGACTCAGCATTAAGACAGACTCATTTTCTCCCTGGCTATGAGTATTTGATGCCACAGTGCATTCTTTCTGCCTACCATAGAACTGCCAAGCAACTCTGAGTTCAGCAGAATGTGCTGTATCACTCCATTTATTCCAGTTTATGACTCCTTTAGATAAACTAAATGTATTGGCTTGGGGGGAGGGGTTGGGGTGGGGTGGTCCCTGGGCTGAGAAAAATGCAAGATAAAATGTTCTGCTTCATGCTATCCCACCTTAGCCCTGTAATTCCATAGCTTAAGGACATTTACTACAAAAGAGACTGTATCCATTACTGTGGTAGCTACTCTAAGGCAGCACTGACACATTGCAGCTGAGGAACAGAAGAATCCAAGTAAGGAAGAAAACAATTCAGAATATAAAGTTACTCCTCTTGACTGGACAGACACTCCTGTAATGCTCAATTTACCTGTTTTGACATAACAGATCCAATTCACTGGGTTTGCAAGGATGTTACCTACCCTGCAGCATTATTCCCTTGCTCTGTTGCCCTCCAGGTAATCAGAGATCACAAAAACAACTGTGAGATTAAAACCTGACTACCAGCTACAGTAAAAACATTGCAGACTTGTGGTTTTAATCACATACTAGCTGTCAAGGCAGCAAATAATTTACTATTTGGGAGAGGATCACAGGTTTTTTGTTTCTTGTTTTCTAATATAGGTGCTTTAAAGTTGCTCATGAGCTGTACAGAGCATATTGTTGATACCAACGTGCACCTTGTGTGTATTTAAAAGCAAGGTACTTGTAATTTTTATGCCAGCCTCCTTGTGAACGCACACTTACAGACATGGTAGCTCAAACAAAGCAAAGCAAGCAGAGAAGTTTTAAGGAATTTTGATCCTGAAGTGGCTTAAAGAAACCAAGAAGCATCTCATGGAATGCCTGAGTCTGACCTCCTCTGAGCTTTGGAATAACTGCATACCCACCCAAAATCAGTGCTTCAGACATAACTAAACTGCAAAGAACATATCATGTTCAGTCTGCTTTCAGCTGCTCCCCAGTTTGTCACTGTATTTACTAGTTATCAAAGATTTTTCTTCTAATAAGATTCTTCTTCCTAGTTCATTTGCCCCTTTTGCCCATTGAATGAATATGATATTGTGCTGAACTTATGAGTCCATGTCTGTTTCTAGCAGCAGAATAACTCGATGTGCTGAATTCAGCATTTCCTGCTCCAGGGAGAAACTGCTTGCAAATAAATAATAATTTCCTTGCATGAACACAACCAGCTGAAATAAACACCAGGGGAACACCACAAATGAGCCTGTGCCAATTCTCCTTTGCATAAACATTCTAATTACATTAAAAAACCCCTTTCTTTAAAGCTATCTGAAGCTTCTGGACTAGACTGCAACACAGATTAGAGTAACCATAAGTTATCTGCAGTGAAAACACAGCCAGCAGAGCTTTTAGCATTGATGACGTTCTGCTAGAAATTTTACCCTGAGTTTGTACAACTTTTATTAGAATATGAATCACAGAGCATTTAATATAAAATCAGCACAAGTGCAAACAGAGCTGTCATAGCCTGTTTCTCTGATGTATGAGAGGATGAGCTTCTACTAATGAGGTCTGATTTTCCCAGGGCAATAATAATAGTAAAATCTAAGAGAATGAATGAAGATACTGTTACTAGTCTTAACACAGATTGAAGAACTTGGCATTTAGCAGAAAAGCACCTTGGTCTCAGTACTTTCTCACTGAATTATAGCTAATGCTCATGGATTAATGAAAAAAGTAAAAAAGAAAGGTCATTACACTCCATGGGGAGTGTAAATGGGGAAACTGTTCTTATCCAACTGAGTTATGTTTTATGCAGAATGAAACAGGCTCTTCCTTTAGGTCACTAAGAGGAGAGGGAATGCTGGAAAAAGGGTGCAGGATCAGAGGATTCACTCCAAATCTAGTGCTCACTGGGTAAATGGGAAGTCTTCATTAGCTTCAGCAAAAAATTTAGATCCTCCTTTTCTGTGGCCACTTTGAAAAGCAAAGCAAAGGGGTCTGGGGAAGGTTATTGGCAAGCAGGGCTAGCTGCAGAACAGTGGCCACCAGCAGTGAGAGCTGTGGGAGAGGAAGAGGAGGCTGGCTGCAAGGCCAGAGTCGTTTGCAGGCTCTCCTGCGAGCCTCTTTCGTTCCTTAGTCAAGAATGCATCAAGCAAGTCAGACACAGACAACAACATTGCATAAAGGTGCATTTTTCTGTTTTTCCAAAACAATGTTTCCATCTTCCTCTAGATACATTAACATTAATGCTACATGAAGGGGTAAAATGGGAGATTTGTGCTGGGCAGAAGCAAGAGAAGTTGGCAAAGCCCACAGCCAGCAGGAAGTCTATTCAAAAGACTAATTAGAGCCACAGAAAACCTCCAGCCCACCAGAGCCTGCTGTAAAGAATATCTTTAGTAGTTTAGTAGAATTGCTAATGATTAGTGCATGAGCTACAAAACTACAGCCATTAGTGGGTTAGTGCTCTCATACTGACCGTGAATTGTTGTGAAGCTGATTTACATACAGCTTTATAAGAGAATGTTCATCAGCCACAGGACTGGCTGCATTTATACCCCCAAGTAACCTGAATGATTCAAACAATGAGACCTTGTTAATACCCTAAAAATTATACACAGACAGCAGTGTGTTCAGAGTGGGTTCATCACAACAAAAGCAATTTGCAGCCATTTAGAAAGGATACTGACTTGCCAGTTTGTAGGGTGCTTTTTTTCTTTTGAATAAAAAGATGCAAATTAAATTTATAAGAGATGAAAATCAAAATAATGAGAGACAGCTGTCAAACACTCAAAATCCTTCTAGATCACTGAAACAAAAGTTACACTAGTCTTTAATATAGAAGCAATGTAATTGCTTTACATACCAGGGTACTGTTGACCCTTAAAAAACCAGAACTGACTGCTGCATCATGGAAACTTTGTGCTGCATAAGGACATCATACTATCCAGTTATAAGGAATTCTGAGTACCTATGGTTTGGGGGGGTCTATTGTCTCCTGCCTTCAGGGAATTCTCCATCAAGGAGTTCTTCCTCTATGAGAACAGGAATTCTAATGGCTCAGGTATCATGTATGTTTAATCCTGATAGTTAAAGACTATCACTTAAAGCTGAATTACTAAAGAACACAAAACTAAAAGAATTAGGATTTTTTCTGGCTTTCAGAAAGCATCTCAGCCACATCCAGCAGCTGCTTGCACTAAGATAACAGAGAGGTTTAAGTCTACAGCTCCTGGTAACAAAGTTCATCCATCAAAGTAGCAATAAAAACCTTTACCCTGACATTGGAGCGTGGTACACTGCCGGGCTGGTTTTGGTGTTAAAAATGTAGCCATGCAAACTCAGACTGTTCTTGGTTATTCAGGACCACTGAAG